AAATGTTCTAAGAGACGTTGTACAAACAGACAATTAATCTAGTAAATAATTAAATACAATTTTAAAAGGTTTGAGTTTCATAAAAAGATGTCGAAAAATTTCTCAGAGGTAAATATAACCATAAGAAACATTTGCTCCAAAATTTTAAAAAAGAAAATGGTCTCTTTAGAAGTATTAAAGCGAAGTATTAAAGTTATGTTCTATATTACTTTAGTGTAAAATGGTGCATCGACAATTACTCTTGTGCATGTGCATGCTATCCGTCGCTGATAGTATTGCTTTAATGGCGGGAAGATCCTCTTATGGACTGCCTTCCTATTTAAACTTGTTGGAAAATGATAAAAGAGACAATAAGGTAATTATTATATATTCATATCTTTACTATTGCAACTTTACAGTGTTTCAATTAATGTGGAGAACAGACGGAAGTAACACTCTACATGAGAAAAAATCTTCACTCATTACTGACTTGATACAGTACTCCTAATGTAGCACATTATCAATTGAAATTATATCATTCATAAGTATATTATCAACCGAAGATAAAGTACGTTTTACCTACTATACCCTATCATCACAAATATAACCACTAGTTACTTTTAGGGATTTTCAATTTGACAAATTTTACGTCATAAGAGTTTTCCTGAAATTATTTAATCTTGAAGATAGTGCTGTGTGAATATATTCCAACACGGAAGTAAAGACACTCTTTCTAATTGATACCACTATAGATAATGGGCATGGGTTTGTGAAGAGCATCTGGAAGTTCAAAAGTTCACATGTACCTATCAATTAATAGATTCATTTAACATTTTCCTTTACATTTTTCTATCCTCCATTATGTTTGCAAATAATAACCTATGTCCAACGACAAAAAAATTTAACATTATGAAACTCGTCAGATCAAAAATAAAGACAATTTATATGTTTTCATATTTCCTAGTGTTCACGTTACATGGAGGCGTGTGTACCAGACCAGGGAGAGTGTTGTGGAGATTTGGTATGTCGGAACATCCTCAGGGATTTCTGTCTCTACCCATTAGAACAGTGTCGGTGTACTAAACTTCGTATATTTCAGGGTGTGTATATGATTTTTCAATAAATGTATGTCATTTTGCTACTTTACTACTTATAAAAATAAAAATGTACTAAACTTCGTATATTTCAGGGTGCTTCTGTTTTTCTACTTTATTACTAATTAAAAATGACAATATTTAGATTGTGATATATTTGGGAAGAAAATGAAGATTAGTAGTTTCCACAGTTAACATATAAGTTAAAGTAAAATACTTGATTGGAGACCCAGAATCGTAAAGGAGGTAAAGAGTACATTGAAACAATACAATTCGATCGGAAGCAGAGCAAACACCGGCCTCTAAAAATTTAGAAGGAAGGTCAGGTGTCATAATATGTCGATGGAGTAAGCATCCCCTGTTACATGTAAGACTTTTAAAGCATTATAAAATTAACGTATGTATCTTATAGATTCCTCTCTTTTCCTTGAATATGATGAAATAATACCAACAAATATAACAGTCGTTAAAAAAAACAAAAGGAAAAAATAAAAATGGAAGAATGGAAGAGTGTCAACACTTTTGAGTAATGAATTGCAACATTTTGCTCTTTTGCTGTGACCTATACCACAGAACATCTGTAAGTGTAACATGGAGACCTTTGTAAATTGTTTTAAGTGGCATATAGTGACAAATATACATAAAAGTATCTCTAACGATCTGTAGTGGCTTCTGTAAGTATTTGGGTAACTTTTAACGTAAAATATGTAACTACTCCTGGAGTTATTTGGATTTTTCAAGGATGACCTACCGCGTATTGAAAATCTAACGATTAGTGGTGTCCTCTCTAACTTTCCATTGGTTACTTCTATCGAAACACCTGTTACTGGGGTCGTCTATCAATGCATGAAGGAGCTCGAGATGTCATACCAAGTAACAATTTTGTGAAATATTTAGACTTTGCACTACTTCATTTAAGATGTAATTCAGAAACTGGTGAAATATGTCAACAACAATTCAGTTACAGAAGTCTCGACAAAGTACTTGTTCGTGAAAAGAATCCAAAGCTCGTTGTCAAATTCGACAATGAAGCCAACAATTCAAAATGTATCAGTGTTAAACCATCCTCAGCCCGGTACAATTATAACCTGAATATAGAGGTTTTTTCAAGCTGATTTGACGCACAGGTACATTCTCAACGTAGGGTCATTTTCGAAGCAATTATCAAACAAGTCAACGATGCATGGACCGGTCCTTTAAAAATCAACATTTTGTTATCTTATGACCGATACAATGACCTTGTTAGCGAAAACAAATTGAATGTTAATTGATGTTTTTCATAATTTTTTTTTGCCATTTCTTTCACATCAAAATGTCTAAGGATTTGTTTATTTTGCGATCGTGACAAGAAACACACGGCGGTTGTGGCTTTTTGACAGAGAAAACTAATACTTCTTGGGCACCTGACCTTAATTTGTATTGTTTTAAAATTATGCACTGAATTCTGTTTCGCACTTTAAATAGCTATCCATTCAAAATCAAAATGTAGAGTTCAGCAGCATGAAATGAAATGTGATTATATTCTCTCAATGTTATATAACGTTAAAATGTTCCTTATAAAAATATTCAAAAGGGGCCAGTTATATCCACACATTTGCATATATCTTAAGATAGTTGTTTTAAATAACTTTTATACATTTGCAATGAATGCAGCATATTCAAATTTTTTACAGATGGAAATATAACGTAGAAACTAGTAGATTTTAAAAAAGAATTCCTTCAATGTCATCCGGACAATTATTAAGATATTGGGGGGGGGGGGGGAATATGTACATATTGTTGGTAAATTATTTCTTTTCATATTCTTTTTTACTTTACAGGTCTGCGCAAGTGAAGAAAATAGAGAGAAATAAAGAAGAGGGCTTTAATTTTTTAAAATATCATACTGAGGTTTATTTTTTGCTACGAATTAAATTACAATTACCCTTATAATTTAGCTTTTGTACAACTGTTAATTTTACATGTGTATATGAATATTTGTAAATTTTATTACAGTACGAGAAAATAAATTAATATGTTAGAACATAACGAATCAAACTGTTTGAAATAATTTATCTGCAAATCAAACTAAGCATTTAAGGAACATTTTAAAATATCAATCGTGCTTGAAAAAAAAAGGAATTTAGTAATTGATGTACAGGATTCGGTATAATTGTAAAAAACGGTTATGTCTAACAAGGAAGAAATTCAATTTATTTTGTTTCAATAATCATACCGCTTCCTTCAACACCTGCATATGGAGTTTATATCTCTGAGTTAATTCAATACACAAGATATGCTCTACGAATGTACAATGTCTAAAACGAGGTCAATCATTGACAAATAAATTGATAAAACAAGAATAAGAACAATTTTGTTAAAAGTCATCATTTCGTAAGTTCTATGGTTGATACAATGAGCTTGTAAGCACATACAATTTATCATTGAGTCAAATGCCGACTGAGGTTTTTCATATTAATTGATAGTCCATTATTTATAAAGTGAATTGACGGCAATTCACGATCGTAACAAGGACAACAGGTGTGACCGGCAGGGGATGCTCAATTCTCCATAGCACCTGATCCCACCTCTAATGTTTCGTAGGTCGTGTTTGTTCTGCTCCTATTTTGCTTTGTGTATTGGATTTTGAGCTCGAATATTGTTCAATATCTCCATATATTTTATTTCAATTAAAATTTAATCGCTTGAAAAAATAATAGTTATTAACTTGAATTAATGACTCTTATGATGGAGTTTCCCTACAAGCAAATTTTATTGGACAAACTATTCAGAGGTCTCATATTGAATTTTAAAATTCAAAATTCAGGGGCCTCCAAAGCATCAGAGGGGGGATCAGGTCCCATGGAGGAGTGAGTATCTCCTGCTAACGGGGTACACCCGCTGTGTGTGCTCGTGATGATCGGAAAATAACTGAAAAACCTGTCGTCAATAAGATAGTAATTAGTATGAAAAACGTCATTCAGCATCAAACTCAATGATAAATTGTATATGCTGACAAGTTCATTGTATCGACCATAGAATTTACGAAATGAGGACTTTAAACGAGATTGTTGATATTCTTGTTTCAACGTGTTTGTCAATAATTTACCTTGTTATAGAAAATGATCATAAGTATGCTTAGCGTTTCGAGTCAACTGAGACATATAATCTCCATATGCAGGTGATCAAGATATTTTGCTGCATAAGAAAGATTAATTGTTGATTGAAAAGTAAAAATCATCACGTTTTTCATAGAGCTTGTTTCTTAGATTAAAGTAAAATATCCAAGTATGAAACGGATTTGTCAGAATCTGTGGTATCTTTTATCTCAAGCTCACCAGGGTATACTTATATCGTATCGACTTTAAATGGAAATTGCCATTGTTAATTGACAATGTGTCGTCGATATATCTAATTCTCGAGATGAGGGCCACAACAAGTGTTTTCTTCTTTTCACACACAATATTTTGGACAGATTCTGCTTCAGATTAAAACAAAAAAAAAGGGGGTTTCAAATAACGCGGCGCAATAGATACCCATGGGAATTCCAATAGATTGTTTGAAGACGTCTCCAAAACAACATACCCAAGAGATATTGTCAATTGGAAAGCCAAGTATCTTTTTGAGTACTCGTGTGAACAGTCAGAATGTTTTTTAACAAAATGATATTGATAATGACCAATGACAAGGTATGCAAATTTAGGAGTTTATGAGTCATTATATGAGTTATATATATTAACGTCACCTGTCATAATTGTCCCGCGGGAAATAAGCACATTTGTAGCAAGAATCTTAAAGCTTCATATACTTTCATTTGCACTCCAGATTTGACCCAGTCTAATTTTGGTTTAGTTTGAAACAAAGTGATGTTGAAAAATTGAAACAATGTATTTGAAAGCTTTATTTTTCAACAGTCTAGAGTTATTAGATACATTATATGATAATAAGCTAATTTCTTTTCCGACATGAAATAGACTGCATGAAAAGGCTGCGAAAATGTAAATCAAAATAACCATATACTAAGGGATTAACGATGTGATTTATGATAAATGATCTCTTCAAAATAACTAAAATATTCAGAGAAACGTCATCACGGTAGAACCAAAACGCAAACGGATTTTTACTGGGTAGAATAATTAAGATAAATGTTGGCAGGTAGGACAACACATAGACCAGAACGATGGTAACAAACATAGAAGTAAAGTTATGACGTATGCGTCTTCTGTGGGAGTTTTTCCGTTCGCACACTGATGTGTCTAAAACATTCTGAAGGGCATCTTTGTAGTTGACGTTGTTAACTTTCGTAGTCTCACTCGTGTCATCTGAAGTTCCAACGTCTGACATCTCCGAGTTTGTTATTCCTAATAATTTTTTAACACGTTTGGAATTTCGAATACTGTGAAACTTTTGGTAAATGGTGATGCCTATTGGAATATACAGGGCCACAGTCAGAATCATATTGATTAAACTAAGAAGGAGTTCGAAGAAAAAGTAAATTCTAGATGAAACACCAGCCAGTTCCTTTTTGACTCCACAGGTTGTGACATTGATCGTAGCATTATTTATATCAAGCGACCCCTCAATGGGCCCCATAAAATGAAACAAAGGTAAGGTAATCGCAGTTGATAACAAAACGGTGCAACCAAGAGCAAGCTTCCTCTTTGAAGATGTCATTTGGGTTGAATTAGGTCGACACACCTTCAGGTATCTATTTATAGCTATCACAAGTAACATTGCAGCAGATACTGTTGACGTGGACCACGTGAAAAAGTACAGAAATTTACACGCGTACTCCCACACAAACACCACCCTGTAAAAATTAATCAATAGGGAGAATACACATCCAAATACACACGCCAGAAGGTCTGCGACTGCAAGATATGGGATGAAGTATCTGTCCTCCGTACGTGAAATACGAAATGCATAGAAATAAATCACAACTGTATTTCCTACTATACCAAGAAGAAGAAAAAGGAGTGTCAGTGAAGTATTGAAATACATTTTTTCACGAAATATCATGTTGAACTGATCTGCCGAAAAATTCATTTTTATAGTTTTCACACTGAATCTCTGTGATGGAATGAAATGACTTCCTTAGACAGTAATCTGGTTAAAAACTGTAAATCTACTTCCTTGTTCTGAGAATGTATTGAGGTTAAGTGGAAAATTCCCTTTTTCCGGTATATTTATGTTTGTTTCAAGTATTTTAAACAGATAGGAAAATTTAGTGAAATTTATAGATATTCGCTCTAATTTTGATAAAGATTAGGAGCAAAACAACCGAAAAGTATAGAATATCAGCGTTTGATATATCATATGTGCTGACAAGATCATTGTATCGACCATATCAAACGAAACTGTTATATACTGAGAGTGTTATTAATAAACCGCATTTCTTCTTAACAAGTTTAGTCGCCCTGGTGCACTGGTTAAAACGTCTGCTTTAGAGTCGCAAAGTAAACAGTTTATCCTTACCTGGCGGGTTCGAATTCCACAATGGGACATCGAAACCGGTCTTTCAATTAGACATAATAAACCGAGGCCCCGTGTCGCAATAAGTATTAGCAGAAAAAAAATTACTGCTCAATGTATGCAAATGCCGAATAGAGGTCAGAATTTGTAGCCCTGCTACAGTAAGTGGTGGTGTCTCCATAAAAAGGAAAATTTCTCGAGAGGGACATTCGACAATCAATCAATCTTATACAATTTTGCGAAAAAAGGTAATGGAAAGTTTTGTTTCTGTGTAATCGTTAGGTTTATCTTATCTGAATAAGACAAGTTATTTCAAGTACATTTTGCATCTTAATTTCATAATGGGTCAAGGCAAAACAATACAATACAAAAGAATACAAATGGGAATACAACTTGAATAATTCAGATTCGTAGAATGAAAATGTTACATTTGGCAATATAAGCAGTACACTTTACAACAGCTGAAGTGTTATAGGTCTTCTGGTGTCTTTTTATTTTTTTGTAACTTGCCAACAACTTCCTAACTAAAAAGGAATCTATGGGATTAATCTAACCGTATACATTAATAGCAAAATTTATACCTTCCAAGTAAGACTTAACAATAGAAAATGAACATTACATGCATGCAATGAAATTACTTATAAGATCGATAGGGTGTGCTCAAATGATGTCTATGACCGGAATTTGTAGAATGCATGCAAGCTTAGAAAATTTGCTTGCATTTACTGAAAGGTTTGCACCAAATAGGGAATTTTCAGTTGTTGGATAATCTCCCAAAATTGTGTAGGAAGTTGACAAGGATATTGTTAAGCCCTGGGTGCTAGTTGACGAAACCTTACGTTTTTGCACCATGTACTAGTATATGTGGACACTTTAACTGAATACTACCCTGCAGTGTGAATAATACTTAAGCCCTCAACAAAATCATAACTTTTCGATTTTTTCATGTCTTATTTTTTACTATGTGAAAAGTTTTTGAGAAGACACCCCCCAAATAAAAATAATTGAAATACCTAGTAATATTGGTAGCAAGGTAATGTTCTTTCTTATTTCTGATGACCAAATCTCTAGTTAGGCCATATAACTCCATACAACACCCCGCAGCAATGAGAGCCAGAATTATCCAAGAAAAATTCTAGTGTCTCATTATCTAGCCAACTTAATGACGGAAAGGGAGATAAACCATTAAATTTTGAAAGGAATTCTACCCCAATTTTAAGGTCAAGTCTCATTTCTTTTGAAACTCTAATTAGGTGAAAAGACTTGCATACACCTACAAGAGTCCCATACAACATACGACAAAATACCCTGTGGAACAGAAACTGTTCTAGATTTGAAATCAATACCCAACCCTAAAACTGACAACCTTGTACATGGTCAATCTGTTTTCTCATTAGCCAATGGAACACCGACATGCATACCTCCTTTCCCCACACTGACCCATTAATTGCCTTCATTCTTCCACATCTACAAGTCCTATAAAGAAAAAGTCTAAATAATGCACAATGCAGTCTAGACCTGACCTATGTTCCAATACCCATTGTAGAAAAGATGAATTTTATTTAAATAAGGAGCAGGAAACTGATCAGCCCATAGGTAGGCACTTGTCAATGTAATAAGAATCTTGAAACTTGACACCAACAGAATTCTTGTTGGACAATTGGTAAAAACCTAAATGCTACAAGACTACAACGTAAATTTGTCATAAGTAACAAATGAAAATGACCTAGAATACGACCTAACAAAATTTCTTTCTCTATTTTCTTTCACACTTTTAAGGTGGTATATTAGGTTCTTTTCCTTCATTACCTGTTACACATTTTCATGTAGTCCTGTTGGTTTATTACCAAGGAAACAGGGAGGGCGGCGCATGATACCGGTAACTTATCATTGAGTCAAAGTGCCAATGATTTCATTAAGCAAGTTTGCTTGAGATTAAGTTAAGTATGCTTCACTCGATAAAGCTTTAGATATTGTTTAGTAAAAAGGTCAGGGAGCCCTTATAGAAAAAATGGATATATCGAAATTATATAAAATGATAAGAATTGCTTTTATTAAACAGATCACTCATTAATTTGTGATAATGCTGCGGTCTATTTTAATTACTTTACCAAAGATAATCACATATAACATAATGAACCTTTAATCAAAAATACCAAAAATATTAAAAAATATTTCATCTTATATTGTTTTTAAGTCGACCAAGGACTACAATAGTATATGGTTTGAATCAAGTTGATTGTTGTAAAGAAAATAAACGCATTCTTGCATAAATTCAATGAAATTGATAACAATATATTTTTCCAACGTCAAAGAAAAACTAAAAACAATCGACCGATTGTTGTTGGAAACTGAACTTGCTCTCATTTTCTTGCAGAACTTTGCAGTTTATTTTATAATAGAATCCACTCTTTTATAATAACTTTATTTAAAAGGACGTTTTAAAGGACTTTCGAAGAAATCTGACATAATCTTTAAATTTTAAAGCTCAACAAATATAAGTTTACATTTATCTGCACAGATATAAAACAGAAAACAATTTCTGAGGTGGTTTGATATCCTCTACTACTTATTATAAAGACAATAAAACATATGGAGATATCCAGTAGAATTCAAGATCAACAATCCATTCAACAATAAAATATAGGACCAGAACAAACACAAACCTCCAAAACATCGGAGATGGGATCAGGTCCCATGGTGGAATGAGCATCCCCTGCCGACCGGTCACAACAGGCGTGTGCCCCTTGTTATGGTAGCGAAGTAACGGAAATATCACTCAGTGTACAAATAATGGACTAACAATAAGTATAAAAAAATTCAGCCAGCATCTGACTCAATGTTGACTGTATTTGCTGACAAGATCATTGCTTTGACTTTATAACTTACGAAACGATGACTTTAAACGAGACTGCTGATATTCTTGTTTCATCAACTTTTTTGACAATAATTAACATAGTTTTAAAAAATGTTCATAGTACATAGAACATGTTCTTGCGTATCCAATCAGCTTAGAAATATAAACTCCGTATGCAGGTGATGGATGTATGAATTACAAAAATATTCATATGAAAATAAAGCACAAGATTCTTTTGATTAAATCTTGAGATTTTTAAAGGACTTAATCTTTAATTATCATTTCTCCCTCCCCCTCTCTCTAAACAATAAAAAAAATGGTACAAATAAAACACTGAATATATTAGGAGATAACAAAAGGTATGTACTTTAATATTTTCATCTTATTTTTTTTTTCTTTGAAAGTTAGCGGAGTTGATTTCTTGACAATTCTACCGGAATGTAAATTAGGCAGGTCGATAGGTCAGAAACTAAGAAGGCCTAATATGCATGCAAATCTGTCTCTGTGTCTGACGCTAAAGAGGCCAAACATGCATGAAATCTCGTGTGGCTGCCTTTGTGTTTGACGTCAGTGGCCGAAGACTATTGATACTGGCTCGTTAACATAATTCTATGTCTACATTTATAAAACATAAATCTAAAATTTTATTTAACAATGAAATGGAAATATAAGGAATCACTGTCTAGTTAGTAAAGTATGCCAGGGACATCAACGATAGTGGGAAACATGGGATAATTAATGCATACATGTAACGGGCTTCGCCATTTATGCAAATTATCCATGTTTCCCACTATCTTTGAAGCCCTGGCACACTATACTAACTAGACATGATTCCTTAATACATCGTTTCTAATAAATATTTTTTTTAAAAGTTCTTCTACAAATTAGGTCAGTAAGGGCAAACATTGAATAATACATACTTCCATGTCTTACACCCGTGATTACATAAACAAGAGATTTCTTGATATATGTTTAATATTTTGAAAAAATAAATCTATGATTCACATCTTTTCCATGAGCCAGGAAGTTACACCCTGAACACGTTCACATGTACACTTAACATGACTCATCGGGAATCTTTCGAACAGTGAGAAGTCGTGTAGCTTCCTGCCGAAATCCGACATCAAAATATCCATATATGAAGGGATTCATAACATGGTTCAACAGGAAAGCTCTTTTGAAAAACAGTAAAATGTTTGTTGTTGTTTTGGGCATGATAAACCAAAACTCTAGAGAATTTCTGATCGACGGTAGGATAATCAATATTATTGATGGCAGATAAGCCATAACCCAAAATATGATAATTGCAGCAAACATTCCAGTAAAATTCTGTCGCACTTGTTTGCGGACAAGATTTTTTTGTTGCAGTTCTGCTTGATTTTGTCCATACTTTAAATTAAGGTTAAGAGACCTCTCTAGCGAGGACTTCAGTTTCACTTTTTGATCTTCATTTTCCACGGAATAAACAACTCTCTGTGTTGTTCGTATGATCCGAAAATTCCGAAATATTGTTACCCCAATAAGTGAATATAAAACGATAATAACGATCATTAGAATTATAAAATGCACAATAATGTAACCAAAGTAAATAAAGCTCTCATAACGTGTAAATCGTTGAATATTACATGTCAGTATTGTAACATTGTAGCCTGCATAAATCAAGCTCCCCTTCTTCTCTCCGAATAAGAATAAAATAGGAAAAATCACAAGGAAAGATATAACCCCGACAACACCCAATGCTATTCGTCTCTCTCGCTGTGTCCATTGCTTAGTGGTTGGTCGGCATATTTTCTTATACCTATGTAGCGCTATAATAAGTAAGATAGAAGCTGAGAAATGTATTAAGCTCCACGTTAAATAGTACATCACTTTACAAAGCATGGCAGATGGAAAATTCGCCGGGTATATGTTCAAAGTAATTGAAGTTAAACCTCCAATTAAGCAGACAAGCAAATCAACTATTACCAGAAAAGGAATGAAGAATCTTTCCTCGGTTTGTGGAACACGGAATATGTACATGAAGAACGCAAAGGTGTTTCCGAGAGTTCCTATTGTAACAATCAGTGCGAGGGTCACTGTATTTGGTATAATCCTGTTGATATATATATCATTAAACTCCTCGGTCGTTACATTCATTTTCTCTCGTTTTTTATTGGAAAGCTGCAAAGACTTTATCCTTAGCCACAGTCAGCTGATGTTTTTTTTTTCGATGATGAGGATATTTTTGTTCTTTACAGGAACATCTTCTTTCCTGTTTCTCATGATTGTTAAACCAGCATCACTTTGCATAGAATGACTAGCACTTTATACCTAAGTACTTTGCAATTAAAATGAGGTGTAAGATTGATTCAACGGAAATAGTAAGTGAGACAAGCACTACGCTTGGTGAATATTCATGTACTATTCACTGAAAAATTCAATTTAAATCAAATCAAACTTTTTTCTTTTTTATTAAACTCTATTTGGACTTGAAAATTTGCAAGGAGTTCTTATAGAGTTGAAAAGTGACAATAGTTATCGAAATCATTTTCCTGCAATTTAATTAAGGAAAAACGTGAGATATTCCATCCTATAGTCTATTAAGTTGTTTTGCATTTACGATGTCTCCTATAACTTTCTCTCAAAGACGTTTTAAATGTTACTGAAGCAAAGAAAGGAGAGGTTTCCATAAGGCTGTTTTTTGGCCCATGTTTCATTTACGAAAATTGAAATTAGATTGTCTACAATTTTAAACTTACTTTCATTATTTTCAGCATGTCTAATTTTGTGCTGTGTATTTATTTTGCGAGAAAAAGTTAGGATAATATTGAAATAAACGATCAAAGTATGGGACCTTCAACCGCTTTAACATTGAGTAAATGGGAAAATGTTGGAGGTTGTGTTGTTTAACCTTCTAGTACACCATGTGTTGCATTCTAAACCGAAACCATAATTTGATAATTAATCACTTATATGTAGAGAAACATTATACTGAAATATGGTTGTGGTTCGCAATGCAACACACACTTAAATACTAATGACTCTAAATGCAAATTTTTCAGTCTGTTGAGTTGTGGTTTTTATTCAAACATTTAAAGTGATTCATATAGAATTTATAACTAGTAATTCCACCCTAGCTCTACAAGAGAGGGGTATAATTTTTTACCCTTGAATGTCTGTCTAGCTGTCTGTGCGTCTGTAACAAATTTTCTTTGCAGTTTTTGGCAACTACTCATAGTAGATGATTGATGCTTTCACGCTCGTTTTGAAAGTTATATGGTGACTTTTATTTATGTATGAATACAATGTCAATTTTCTGTTTATCTGTTGTGGACAATGTTTCAATCCCGCTATGTCCATATGGACATGTATCCATCTTCATGAGATATCTTTAGATATTAGTACCTTTCAATGGCACTTGCCAATTATCACCAAGCAGTGGTTAGTATTGTCAGAGCAAATAAAATCAGGAACTATTGGTTTATGAGCATAATTAAGTACCTGCGGTTACAAAAACATTTTGAAAAAAAAATGAAGATAGGCTTCACACGAAAATTGGTATAGACATGGAAACAAAGAATATAGCTTTAGAATTAAGAAAAATGTATATAAAATGAATTTTGATAAAAGAAACATCTCAGATCATGCATCCAATATCTATTAATAAGATAAAATAAGTACATGTAAATAATGTTTAATGCCTGTGTACAATATACACTTACAGAATCATTTCTTTTTTATCCCAAAAATATTTTTAGTACTGCAAAACAATTTATTGATAAGAGATTTTTACATTTCCTATAAATGTCTCAATCTAAAAGAAATACTATTAAATCGATGCTCTTTCTTATAATTTGTTGATGTCTTTATTCTACTTTATACTTGTAAGAACATGTATGGGTCGCAAGCAAAGTTATATTTAAATGATTTTTCTCAATATATCTTAATATTGAAAGCTTTTGTTTGTTTCTTTTTTATAACTGATTGTTTTTCATACGTTTTTCATGTTATTATAAGTAGCAAAGATGTCTAAAAAGAAACCGTACACAATTTCCGTTGAATTTTTATGGCTACAATTACAAAAGTTTTTTTTTCCAAAATAAATTAAATCAGTTAATCTTTTGTGTTACTTCAGCCCTGTTCTATGTTCCCTGCTGATATGTGGTTAATCTTTCTTTGGTTTTTCATAATGCACAGTCTTCTACAAGTAATAAATCTTCATAACCCTCTTAGACGCTTTTAGAGGGACCCTTTAGATACCCCTTGGTCACGTGACTAGTATAGGTTGGTTTTGAAAATAAATTATAAAATATGACAGAGGAAACATTACTAGACATAACTAAAGGAATTAATTTGATATTCATCATGGGCCAAAAACAGCTTTATGGAAACACTACCTTTTTTTTTCTCTCGGGGTTTATATTTCTTAAGACAGAAAAGCATCCTCTATGCATTAACATGCGTTGTACCACGCCCTCAAGTAAGTGCGCATCTCTGCACCCCACAGGCGCTATTGTGTCCTCTTTTGTCAAAGGACAAATAGCAATCAGCAACTCATAACAACTATTTACAACTATTTACAACATCCTATTTTAGGTCGAAATATCATATTTAGGATATAAATATTACTTTATGTCCCTTACATAGCGTAATCGAGACATGGTGACCTAATTCGTTTCTCTAAGGATGAAATGATCAGCCGTAGTTTAGAGCTCTCAGTAGTATAGAAATAAAGTCCTTTTTGTCGTGAATGATGCAGGATAACCTCTTTGATCTCGAAATGTTGTTTGAAATATAAAAGCATCCGCTAACACCTCTAACATGCATGAAAACGCACACTTTATTTCTTAAGTTAAATCTTTTGTCAAAAGAAGACTTAATAAAAATATGATACTGAAATTTAAAAGAATCGCAACACATTAACAAATGTTTGAAATTCTTAATTAAGAATTTTAAAAAGTGAATAAAGTTTATCTATTTATTGCATTGATTCCTTCATAGTAAGCCCTAATTATAATATGTGCTGCAAAGTAGTTTTCAATCTTTTACTCAATATTTCATTTAAAGTCCTACATATAATTTGGAAATTATTGCAATTATTTTTGGAAAATGTAAATTCACACGGTAGTAGCATTCATGTTGAATTGTATGAAGACTCTTCCTGAAAAATCTGCAGAAATGAAAACATCCCTACAACATGAGATTTTCTAAAAAAAAAGTTCATATTCAAAGTTACACAATCGATTGAATGAAGAGAATATGTTACATTTACCGGGACAAAATAAACAAAAATATGAATCAATTTCATGAAATATTCTTTAATATTTACTGCAATATAATTACAAAATTCAATAAAGAAAGACAAATCCCTCTCACACACACTCTCGTTCCTCTTTTATAACATAGAATAACCAAAAATATATCTGGTTGTAAAATCCATTTACGATCAGATCGATAGCCTTCTGGGAAACAAAATGATGTTTTGTTTTTCCCCTAAAATTGCTCATTCTTTACTTTCCTGATTATTTATTCTAAAGATTTTTTATGTAACCAGAAAGCTTTAAGAGTTAATTAATAGGCAAAAATGACAAAAACATAGCCCCCTTTTTAAATTTCGTTTCTTAAACTATGAAAACCCATTTATCCAAAAGGTACAAACATAATGCATTGGTAGTTTTCTTCAATGTCGCTTTATTTTGAAAATTAATTATATGTATTTAGAACTCAATTTTTTCAATACTGTTGTCAAATGTCTTTCGTATTGAATTTTATTTTTCTTAGCTTAGCTTAATTTCTTTTTAGAAAACATGAACTTGAATATTTCTTCGTTTTTTTTTCCGAGGAAGCGAAACAAGCTATCATTAAAGAAACATTTAGATAGAAATAAAAGAGCATACAATTTTTCTGACTTCCTTTCTAAAGGTTAAATCAAAGTAACTGTAAATAAAGGGATTAACAATGTTATTTAGTAAGAAAGCCCTCTGTAACAAGACAAGAAAGTTGAGCTCCACGGGACTCTTGGAGAACCAGAATTCTGCTGGATTACTCCCTGGAATTATCATTAAAACCAAAGAAGAGATGTATGATACGACATAAAATACGATGATGGTCGCAAACATCATTGTAAAGTTGTATCTCGCTTGCCTCTGCTTTACATTCTTTTTCCTGCTTGTTGACTTGTCTCTTGCATCCCATTTAATATTATCTTTCGGATATGACTTGCTTTGTCCGCAAGTACTAGTATTGTCGTCCTTTGAGCTCAAAACTTTTGACAAGGTAACTGACTCCTCACACAAACTGATTTCAGTGTGATGCTTACTCAGATCATCAGTTGTATGAGAATCATCTTGAACTGTAAAAATTTCGGATTTTTCCTTTGAAAATTTGGCTTTGATATCTGCACCTTTAAGTCTTTGATATATTGTTACACCAACTGGTATGTAAAATGCAAATGTAAGAATCATATTCAGCAAAGCTATAAAAATTTCAAAAGCGAAATAAGCAAGTTGTACTTTATGCATAGTCCCATCCGTAAAGCGTAAGCTACACAAAGTAGTTGTAATAAGTTGTCCATGGTACACAAATGGATAATGTCTTTCTCCCAAGAAGTAAAGCATTGGTGTTGACGTCACTAATGAAATAATTACGACAGAAATAAGAGCTCTTCTTTTCTTAGTCATATCTAGTTGTGGTCCAGTTGAACGGCAAATCAGAAGATGGCGATTGAGGGAAATTAGTAGGATGATAATTCCAGATACAGTTGTGGTCGCCCAAGTAAGAAAATACCCTACTTTACAAAATATTTCCAAGGTATAATTCGCTCTGTGGAAATTCGAAACAACACCAAGTGAAACACCAGCAACACATGCAAAAATATCGGCGATCGCTAATGCTGGGATAAAATACTTTTCCTCTGATCTTTTCATTTTACGTGCGTAAATATACAAAACGATTGTGTTTCCAAAAGTTCCAAGAAAAAGATAAAGCAATAGTATCCCTGTGTTAATATAAAGATGTTTTGTAACTTCAGCATTCAGATCTTCTACCGTATAGTTCATACTTGCCATTATTGCAAGAGGAAGTTCATGTATCAATAAACGATGACGATCCAACTGAGTTTTTCCGAGTTCAAAGTCTGGGAAAAATAAAGTTAGCAAATTTAAATTTTTCCTTGTCAGTTCAAATCCCGGTGATGCTGCTAATAGAATTTTATGATAACCCTATCAGTACAAAAATCTTAAATGCTTTAGTTTTTTTTTAATTCATTCTAAAGTGTGGTAAGGAAAAAAATTTCCTGATGTTTCAGATTTATTTATATCTTATACATTTATCTGTCACACCCAACTGATACTATTTTGTTTCTCAAACTTCCATTTAGCCCATCTTCCATTTTTCCTATTTGAAAAGCTGGAGGGTATATAGTAATCGGAAATTCTACAAAGATTTAGCTAGCTATTTTTAATATGCATAGCAGTTCAGTGTGTAACAGTGTATACTTAATCAGTCTACAAAACGATATATTTGCCAATCGTGCAAAGAAACTCCTCTCGAAAAAAAAAACCACTGAGAGAAATTTGATGAAAAAAAAAACTTTTACATGTTTTTAAAATCTTTATTACACCGTATTGCCATTGTGCACCTTCTATATGCTACTTGTTGATCCTACACATATTTTGGGTTTCCCTTAGGAAAACATGGAGACCGCCATTATATTCATAAGGGAGGTAAGGTTATTATTTAGTGAGCCTATTACTCACAGTACTTCTAGTTTTTGAATGTATAACAATTTTATAAAAAATGCTATCCAAAATATGACACATTTGTGTATAGTAAAACTGAAAAATCGCTGCACCCACTTCACTGGCACTCCATTATAAAGGGGATGGAATGGCACAGATCCTTTCATAATGCATATATGTATTAGAAGTTTAATGTGTTCATACAGTAACATCCCAGGCACAAAATGGTCCCTGAGGATCTGACTCTTATCTTAGCAAGAGAGTTAGAGTAAGGCAGAACTCTAAAAAGCCGTAAAGCAACAATTGATTTTCAGTTAGATATGACTTTTCTAAGATCCTCTCCCCTTGGCATTAAGTTTTTAAAACAGAAATGCTATTCTTGTAAAAAATAATGTTACCAATGATGTCTGTTGCTTTGTGATGTCGACTCAAAAGTCCTCTTTACACAGAGATGACACTAAATTCTACGGAAAAATAAAGGAATCATTGTGACCAACGAATTCATGTCACTTCGAAATGTAAAATGATACATGCATGCAGGATATAATAACAATGAAAGATATGGAGATAACGAACAGCATTCACGATCAAAAATCCATAAAACAATGCAAAATAGGAGCAGAGCAAACACGTACCTCCAAAACATCAGAGGTGGAATCAGGTGCCATGGAGGAGTGAGCATCCCCTGTCGACCTGTCACACCCACCGTGTGCTCCTTGTCGTGATTGGAAAATAACGAATAATTCCGTTTTCAATTCAATGTATAAATAATAGACTAACAATAAGTATGAAAAACGGCACTCAGCATTTAACACAATGATTAAATGTATTTGCTGACAAGGTCATTGAATCGATCAAGACCGATCATAGATCTTAACGATTGATTGAGAACTTTCATATCGAATCAACTGAGATAAATAAACTACGTATGCAGATGATAAAGGTATATTGTTGCATGAGTAAGGGAAGTTGAACATAGAAAAGTTAAAATCATCACTTTTATCATAGAGCCTGGTTGTAAGATTACCATCAACGTCTTTTTCAAATAAAATATCCAAGTATGAAACAGTTACGCCAGACGCTGTGGTATCTCTTATCTCAAGTTCAAATAGATATATCGTATCAACATAACAATATATCTAAATGTCGAATTTAGGAAATGTTTACTTCTGTTGACGCATAAAAATTTGCACAAATTTTACTTCATATGAATACAAAAAATAGGTCTGCTAAAAACGGGGCGCAATTGGTTCCCAAAGGAATTCCAATATATCGTTGGAAGAACTGGTCTTCAAAAACAATCCAGATAGTGTCGGTACGACATTGAAGCATTTTTTTTTTATGTTAACGTCAGTGTACTTTTGCGTGCGATCAGAATGCTCCATTTTTATTGAAAAAGCAGTTGTCAATGATATCTAAAAGCTTGGACTTTAATCTATCGTGGCAAATGGTTGTGAATAAAGTTGAAAGTCGTAAGTTTTTAAGGTGTTCATCTTGGTAAAATCTTGTGATTTCAAATTGTCCAAATGTTCCTTGGAATTTTTAAGTATCTTCATTCGATTCACACTACTTCTTTTACATATTGTTGCACAGTACTCTTGAAGTATCTCCTTCACTACTGTTAATATCTTAGTGAGGAATAACGAAAGAGGCTTGATTGAACACTTACTGAAACCCGCTACGTATCTTTGTTTGTAAGGATATTATGACGTTTTGAAATCCATTATATATATGGTAGTTCAAATTCGTTTTGGTTCTTTTGTCAACATGATTTATGTCATATTCAAACATCTATTAATTTTTCTTAATTGATAGATCTTTGCAATTGTACCGAGATCGTGTATATTCTACATGTACTCGTACACGTAGTAATGAATATATAAATCTAATGAACGTTTTTTTCCTTTATCTTTGATGACGACCACTGCCATTAAACAGTGCTTAAACGACACTAAGCAAGCCACTTGCAAATATTTCCTGTATAATGGCTGTTCCATCATTTATGCTTACAATGACACATTCATCTTAAATAACAATATTCAACATATTTTAATATTACTTTGAGTGTTTTTTTTTCATACAGATGTAATTATAAACAATAAAGTATCTTTGTTTTTATTACATAAAATAACAAATGTATTTTTTTGCAGCAAATCCGACATTAATTCCCGTACCAACAAACACAGAAAGCATTTTATTAATTAAATAATTTCAATAATTCACGAGAAAGATTCACAACTAATAAAGTTATTTTTCTTTGTGTAATTTCTAGAGCGGTCTTTAAATTTTTTTTACAGGTGAATTAGAGACGAATGAATAAAATAAAACAGAATAAGCAAAATTAGTTGAGCATTTTAACAAATCCTTTAAAAATCGTATCGGGGCGTTTGCACACAAATCAGGATACTGTTAACTTCAATTCTTCCTTTCTTACTACATAGTTCAATAGTTATTGATTAGAAATACTGAGTTTGAGGCAATTATTTTTTTTTGTTCATAGTACATCAATAAAAAAAAATGATTTAACATTAATATTTTCAGATTCAAAATTATACACACGAGTAAGTTATGCTATTAATCAAAGTTCAATTATAAACCAAATCAGATCTCTATATGTTCATTGAAATTTTTCTGGTAGAAACTTGTCATAATTCATATATTGCTTATCAATATAAAAGATAATGATTAAACATTACGGTTTTCGGTCTCAAAATTATACATTTGAAAAAGGAGTTTCTCTATATATACACTAATTGAAATTTCATAATTCTATTTGTTTTGAAAAATTTATACAGAAATTACATGTAAAGACAGTTATGGTGGGGACTATGTGGACAGAAACATTAGAATCCTTTTGGTTTGTACATGTATATTACATTACTTTCTAGGTATCAGACATTACATATGCATGCTAATCGTGACAAAAACCATGATTTTATAATTATAAACGCAGTAAATATTTGAACAAAATATACATGTATTGACTTTAATTCGTTTAAATAGTTTCTACATTTATTATTTGAAATTATGATCCTAACCGGACAAAATATGAAACTCTTTAAAACGAAGGATAAAGGGATATCAAATTCACATTTGTGTTATGACTTACAGGTACACAAGTATTTTCAAAACGGTAACTCATCTCTTGATTCATAAATCAGGCGTTTTCTTCCTTTTGGAATAATGAATACTAAACAGAATCCTTATAAGGGCATTAACTTATATATAAAAACATTTTACAGTGTTGAGCACAAAAAAGAGGAAAACAATCCTCCTGTTTTGAATTTAAAAAATAATTAGATGGTAATATAAAAGTTACCAATATATATATTTTTAAAATTAATATTCGATTAAGACAAGACATTGTGCCAAATCAAAGAACACACGTTAGCTAATTCTACGTCCTTTTGAATTATATTCCCATTTGGGGTTCGGTTTTAATTGGGGATCAAGTGCTATCTAGTGCACATATACAACATGTTGTTAGTTTTTAAATTTTTTTTACCTTTTGTTTTAATGCTAGGAAGCAAAAGGATAATAACATTTGATGTAGATAACATAAACACCTTTTTCTTATTTTATACATTTACTGTTTACAAAATGAAATGAATGCTATTATACAAAGAACACAAATTAAAAATAAAATTATTCGCGCATTTTCTTTAAAATTTCTCTAAATTAAAAAAAGTAAATAATCATATGACTCTTCAAAATTGCCCTTAGGTCTCACCTATTTTCATCCCTAGCATATCAATGGGATATCATGGGGATAACTTTTTTTTTGAATGCACGTAAAAATTAACAATTAGAACAAAATACATAAGCCATATTTAAGACGTAAAAATATTCTCAGAGAACATTTAGAAACAAATTAAACAGCATAACATCTTTTTGACTTCCTTTCTAAAGGTTAAATCAAAGTAACTGTAAATAAATGGATTGACAATGTTATTAAGTAAGAAGGCTCTCTGTAGAAAGACAAGAAAGTTGAGCTCCACGGAACTCTTGGAGAACCAGAATTCTGCTGGATTACTTCCAGGGAGTATCATAATAACAAGAGAGGGGAGATATGATAAGATATAGAAGATGATGATGGTGGCAAACATCATTGTAAAGTTGTTCCTCGCTTGTTTATGTGTCGCCTTCTTCTTCCTGTTTATGGACGTGTCTCTAATATCCCGTTTAGAATCCTCTTTCGAGGTGAATTTGTATCGTCCGCATGGTACATCGTTCTCTGTTGAACTCAGAACTGTTGATACGGTTGTTGAAAATACCGACTCGTCAATTTCATTCATTTCTACGTGAAGTTTTCCTTGATCCTCGGCTTTAAGTACATCGTTTTGAACAGTCGAAATGTCAGGCATTTGTGTTTGAGGTTTTGCTATCAGACCTAAATTTTTAGATCTTCGATATATTTTGACACCAACTGGTATATACAATGCACATGTAATAATCATATTCAGCAAAGCCACAAAAATTTCAAAAGCGAAATAACCAAGTTGTAATTTATGCATAGCTCCATCGGTAAAGCGCAAGGTACACAAAGTAGTATTCACAAGTTGTCCTTTGTACACAAGCGGGTAGTGTCTTTCTCCTAAGAAATGAAGCATAGGTAATGAGGTCACGATGGAAAATATTACTACCACGATGAGAGCTCTTCTTTTCCTAGTCAGAGTAAGCTGGGGTCCAGTTGGGCGGCATATCATAAGATGGCGATTGAGTGCAATAAGAAGAATGATAATTCCAGACACAGTTGTGGTCGACCAAGTAAGAAAATACCCCACTCTACAGAAAGTATCTAAAGTATAATATGCTCTGTGGAAATTCGAAACAACGGCAAGTGAAATGCCAGAAAGACATGCAAAAATATCGGCAATCGCCAGCATTGGGATGAAATACTTTTCTTCAGTTCGTTTCATCCTACGTGTGTAAACGTACAAAACGACTGAATTCCCAAATAATCCCAGAAAAAGATACATAAATAATATCCCTGTGTTGAAATAAAGAGTTTTTGTAACATCAGCATTTACATCTTCTGCTGTATAATTCATGATTGAACATTGAAGAAATGCAAATATAAAGAAATTGCCCACTTTTTCTATCACTGATTTAATACATTCAAAACTTGAGGAAAGTAATCATTTGAAGTTGAAAAGAGAGCAAAGTCATCACCTTGTGACCGGCAGGTTCATATTTCTGACCCTATTGCTAAAAGAAAACTGTAATGTTAACTTGTTATCATCGCATAATTTAAAATAAAAAGTTAAGGGAAATTCTGCAAAGAAAAAAAAATAATATCCGTATATTCGATAAACAAGAATAAACAAGGAAACAACGTATACCGTATTTTCCGTAATCTTAATATCAATATATAAGGATGTAAAACAACTTTTTCTAGCGAATCAAATAAATCACATAATGTAGATTTAATTCATACTAATGTTTAACTCTTGACTCATAGTATATTGATGACGCATGTGTTACTATATTAAAACTACTATATAATAACTGTGGTCATTTTCCAAGCCTTTAAACACTATACAGAGATTGATAGTATTGCAGAAGAAATATAAACATAGCAGTAAAATTGCAAAGATTAAATCCCAATTTTTACTATATCAAGCAAATTGATTTTTTTAAATCAGTGATTTATTCTTTATTTCAATTTCTTCACACATACTTTGTTACCATCTTTGTTACCCTGTTTTTTTTTATTTTCCAAGACAACAATAGATGTTCAAAAACATACACCAGAAGAAAACCCTTGGTGTAGCATTTTAATAGACATTTAGATATATCGACGAAAATAACAATAGTTATTTCCATTCATATGTCAATACTTCCTAGTCAACTTCTGTTTCAAATTCATAAGAAATCGACATACCCTTATGACCGGCTAGGGGTTTATGTTTCCCAGTTGGTTTAATTCGCAAGAGCATGTTTTACGTACATACAAACAATTTTCAGAACAAAACAAGCTGTCAAAAAACAACCTGATTTAACAAGGATATGATATTAACTGTACTGTTAAAGATAATTTTTGCAAGATGTTTGATAGATTCAATGAACCTGTCACACTGAAAGAAAAACCTAGTGAATTTAACTAGTGTGTTTCGTAAAGCGTTGGTCGTGATTAGTAAACTTTCAGTTTACTGGTTAAGATAGTGAGTTGTGGAGCGGGGGTCGTATAGATACTTAGATACCTAGTGAAAGTTACTCATCAATTCTAAATTTACTAATCTTATCTATTTAATATACCAATATCTGGTAAAACTACTATTAAGGTAGTGACTGTATGGACAGTAAATCTACTAGTTTTCTTCGTGACATTAACTAGTTATTTTTTTACAGTGCAGCAAGTGCAGTCTCAGTAAGTTAAGTGCTTACTGATATTTTATAATCTTATCGTTATCTATAAACTGAATTGTCAAGGGATTTTGTTGACGGTCCAATCATAATAATGAGAATACGGTGCGTTTGAGCGATCAACAGGGTATGTTAAGTCCTCCAAGGCATCTGATTGCTCTGATTTAAGTTGCTTGTTCGCTCTTCTTCCGATCTGATTTGTTTAAAAGGACGATCGCTGTTCGTTGTCTCTATAATTTGTTAAAAAAAATACAAAAAATAAACAAATAATTTTTCGGAAAAAAGACAAATTGGGCACAAATACATAGCAACAGTGTTGTAATTTATGCAGAAATTAAACTTTACCCTCCCCGTTCTGTGAACTGAAAACCATTAAATCGATAAACTACTTAATCATAACATGATTTATTTCTGATTTAGGAAAATATTTTTATTTAAATATTTTTTTTTTGATTTTAGATTTATATTTAAATAAAAAAAATAAACGATACTTGGGTATTATTTTTTTTTTTTTAGAAAAATAGTCCCTTTGTGACTATGATTGATATAAATATATTTATTATTTACTGTGTGAGTCATACTGAATGCAATCCATTCAGGGAGTACAGAGTTGTTTATGAACAAACTTCCGGGTTACTTTACGGAAGCAGAGTCATAACTATACCGCATACCAGAAATCACGGTTTTTGACATGAAATTGTACTGTTTGTTGACAAATATTTACATATTATTTACAATTCGGTGTTAATGTCTGTAGAAATTAGAGATTTGATTCCATTGGAATATACTATTTCATTCAAAAGCTTAGATCTTCTTTAGAACTTAAAATATAAACATCATGCATACCTGTTAATCTGCAAGATTTTATTGTATTCTATTTGATACGGAAAGCTCTTTCATCGACTCAATATAAAATTTGAAATTACAATTCGAAGTCAAGTAATAAAAACATGCCTATACTACATGTAGCTCGTGAAAATAAGGAATAATTTTAGTTAACTTTAGATTAGAAAACCGACTTACAGTTTAACATTAGGAGCACTTTTAATTTATTTGAGGTTTTAAACAAAATGGTACATTTCGGGTACAAATATTGAAGAGATTCTTAAAATTAGGCTTTTTTATAAGAGCAATTATCCTGCTGTGACGTTCATTTTCAGCTCATTTATATCAAAATTTATTCAACTGAAACCCGAAAACAATTTTTTTTAAATATAAAACATCTTAATATTACTTAGAAATACATTTTTACAATCATTTAAAAACTAGTTAAATTATACATTGCTTTAAAGTTATGTTTTCCATGTTCAGCCTAATTTTCTTTCTATTTTATTTTTAGTTAATGCTTTAAGCACGTTACAAATATATTTTTAAACCAAAAGAAAAAATAAAGACTTTTAAGTTTTATAATATTCTGATTTCTGAATGCATCACTTATCAAACCATGATATAGGTAGTAGGCATAATATAGATCTGTATAAGAAATATTCGCTATATACTAGTAACACGACCTGCATTTTCTATCACTCTATCACTTTAGAATGAACTTTATCAAACTAGATTTTATTTATATAATCAGAGGGACAATCGGCATTGAACGTCTGAATAGATGTTTGTTTATTGAAGATATTTTTTAAATCACATATTTTCGTGGGTCAAATTTTCGAGGTTTGAAGAAAAAATATTGGTTTGTGGGGATTTGATTTCCTGTTTGGAGAATGTATAGTAGTAATGCATTTTATGTTTTCTGGTGGTCTTGAATTCATGGGTCTCTATGCCTTGAAAACAACGGAAATTGAACCCCCACGAATAAGTAAAAATAAGTGTTTTACAGTTTATCTGAAAATAAAAATAACTAAACAGAATGAAAGAAAATGTATTCATAAAAAATAAACAAATAACAATATTTACTCTTCCTGCTAAATTTTGATAAAAGAATTAAAATGAATCCCATCACTGCTTTTTCCTACAGAAACATAACATGTTATTAAGTTCACGCCGAAAAGATAGGTCGAAATAAGTGTATATGAAAGGATTTAGAATATTATTTAGAAGAAATGCTCTCTGAAGAAAAACAAGAACATTCAATTCTACAGCCCCTCTGGTGAACCAAAAGTTAGGTGGGTCGTCCCCGGGTAACATAAACAGAAGAAGTGTTGGCAAGTAAGCTAACACGTAAATAAGGATAATTGTAGCAAACATAAGTGTAAAGTTGTGCTTAATTTGCTTTCGTCTTGAATTCTTCCTGCGTTTAAGAGAAGACACTCTCTGTTTGTAGTCTACTCGTGAAGGGTTGGTGCTAGTTATACATTTGGAGCACATTTCATTTTCGCTCATCACTTCGGATGTCACTGAAAACTCGTGCTCTGGTGTATTTACGCAAATTCTCCTTTTTGCAATGGATAGAGGCACGCCATCAGAAACAGTCGATACGTTTTTCGAAGCTTTCATATTTTGTCGTATTACTTTGAATTTGCGATATATAGTGACACCGACTGGAATATACAAACCACAAGTAACTATCATATTCAGTGAAGCAAGGAAAATTTCAAAAGCGAAATAAGCATTTTGTAATAGCTTCATTGAACTATCGCTGAAGCGGAGTGTACATAAGGTAGTGTTGATTAGCTGCCCTTTGTACTCAAACGGAAAATCACGGCTTCCAAGGAAATACAACATTGGTAGTGAGGTAACCAAGGAAATTGAAGACATGACAATCAAAGCCCTTCTCTTCCTTACCGTGTTAAGCTGAAGACCGGTGGGACGGCAGATCCTTGTATAACGACTTAGGGCGATTAAAAGAATCAAAAATCCAGATATGGAGGTCGTTGTCCAGGTGAAAAAATACCCCACTTTACAGAATGTATCCAACACGTAATTAGCTCTGTAGAAATTCGACACAATTCCAAGAATTATTCCAGCCAAACAAGCAAAGATATCCGAAACAGCAAGAAGAGGAATGAAATAACGTTCTTCTGTCTTTCTCATCTTACGAGTGTAAATGTATAAAACACTCGAGTTTCCTGTGAGTCCAACGATAAGGTACAAGGAGAGTAGTCCAGTGTTGAAATAGAGGTACTGTGTAACCTCCTCATTCAAATCAACCGCTGTGTAATTCATGATTTTTTTTTTAATTAATTATCAAATTATTAGAATTATACGCTTCAGAACAAAATCCATCCTTATTTGTTTAGAAATTAATTTCAAATACATGATGTCAGTATAAAAGGATTTCATTTAAAGGATGTGTACTTTTCTATTTAGGGACATTAATACTTGATCATGATGAAATCCTGACCAATAATAATTAATAACATCAATTATATAATTAGATATTTATTTGATTTTCATAATTTAAACACGTGATGGAGAGATTTGATTTGATGACATGCTGTTGATTGAGAAACAAAAACATAAAACCCCATGATACAAAGTGAAAATATATGTTAATAAATTATATTTATTTACATTTTTGAAGATATTACAAAGGAACTGTCAACGTTATCTCCTCCATCAATGGACATTTGGCAAAGTCTAATTGTGGGTATTAAGATTGTTTTGAATTTTTCAAAAAAAAAGAGAGGCGGAATCGTGTGCAGTGGGGGGGGGGGGGGGGGCAAGCATTCTATGTCGACCGGTCACACCAGCATGGGCTCCTTCTCATTGCCAGGCAAATGGAAAAATCAGTATTCCTATCAAAATTTACTTTAATTTGTTATTGTTAAATATAGTGAATACTTTGATATTTGATATCAATTCGATATTTCGATATTTGAGGCACTTTACTTTGCTTAAAAACATTGTAAGATGTAATGAATTTTTACAATCTATTGAATTATGTAACAATGCTGTAAAATTTGTGAATTCGAAGTGAAGGGACAAGTTTTATAAGGGGTTGATCAGAAAGTTCGCTCTCTTTATATTTCATATCAGATCAAGACACTTATCGTCATTAGCATATTCTAAAAAAAGGAGCAGGTGTTACGTAATGAGTTGGCTTCATGTGTGTAATATTACAATAAGAAAGTAATGTAAGTGTGTAGATTACCTGTGAAAAGAATTAGTTGACTAAGTAGTAATCAAGCAAAGAGCGGGTTAGAAATTCCTTTCTAATGAATTATACAAGATTTATGAGAACTAAGAACTTGTCAGAAGTTCAATCATAACAAGAGGCCAATGGGCCACATCGCTCACCTGAGCACTGTGGCTAGGAAAAAAGCAAAAATCAGTTTATTATTGAAAAGTTAATACCCAAAAGTGGTCCTTAAAGGATTGAATCCTTAAAGGATTGAATCTACACTAACAAAGGATGCTTTCAAATTTCTTTGACTACCTGTGGCTTTGTTGCCCTTTACATTTGAACTTACATTGTGGCTCCCCCTCCCAACTAAAATATGACCAATAATGGCTTTGCTGTAATTGAAATATTTTTCCTATATATTTCTAATTAAAACTTTGATTGGCCATTGTGGCCCCGCCCTACCCCAGGCGGTCACGACTTGAACAAGCTAGAATCTACACTACCTGAGAATGCTTCCATATAAAAATGACTAATCTTGGCTTTACTATTCTTGAGAAGAAGAATTTTAAAGAATTTCCCGAAATAATTTTATGTTAAACTTTGATCAACCATTGTGGCCCCGCCCTAGCCCCGGAGGTCATGATTTGAACAAACTTGAATTTACACTACCTAAGGATGCTTCAATATAAATATGACCGATAATGACTTTGCTTTTCTTGAGAAGAATATTTTGAAAGAATTTTCTAATATATTTCTATGTTAAACTTTGATCGGCAATTGTGGTCCCGCCCTACCCCCAGGGGTCATGATTTGAACAAACTTGAATCTACACTACCTGAGGATACTTCCATATAAATATGATTGATCACGCCTTTGCTATTCTTGAGAAGATTTTTAAAGAATTTTCCTGTATTTTTCTATGTAAAACTTTGATCTGCTATTGTAGCCCCGCTCTAGCCCCGGGGGTCATGATTTGAAGAAACATGAATCTACAATATGTAAGGATACTTCCATATACGAGGGTCTTTCAAAAATTACGCGGACTCTGCTATTATTTACTCTTACAGACGTCATATAGTTTTGAAATTTCACAGAAATATGTATCTTTAAGATTCCAATAAATTTTGGGCAAAATTTCTGTATTTTAAAAGACTTTCTCCTAAAATTATCGCAGTGTTGATATCGCTGATGGAGAGGTACGAAGCACGACAAAATATTTAAAACAAAAGTATGCAGAATCCAAAATTGAACTCCTTTATTTTCCATAATTCGCGATATTTTTCTACAATTTTCTCAAATGTATCTTTATATTGTTCTATTACTATGTATATAGATTTCTGACGTGATATTTGAAGTACCCACAAAAATATAGTGCTTTTTCTCCGATGCGATTCCTGTGAAAACGACTGTGAAAATGACATCTCCTGAATTGACGGAGCACCACACTTTTGTTAAATTATGTGTAATGCTCGAGATCTCTCCAACATAGATTCAAAATGTGCATAATAAAAGATGTAGTAAACTTGGAAATTAGTGACATTTGTTTACAAATAGCAAATTGGAATTTTAGACCGTAATACCTCTGTAAAAAGGCTACACGGGAGCCTACACGGTCTTATCGACAAAAACCGGATTGTTAAGAACGTGATTGAAAGTGATCAAATTTCACATTATATCTCATAAGTACCTGCAGTCTTTGGTTTTAAAACAAGAAAGAATATGTTTTACATGTTTTATAGATTTATAGCTTGACAAGAAATGGTGTATGGATGTTGAAAAGAGAGAATAGGTAGCTCAAACTGTACGTACAGGAACTCTTCGGAAAATGTTGAGAAAATGAAAGTTCATATTTTTTTTTATAATGTCCTTGACGTCGAAGATTTTGCTGCTCCATGACTTAATGAAATGTCCTGATAAATCACCCAAAATTGATATCAATTTACAACAATTTGATATGAAATTCTGAAGACCATATTAAGTAAAGATTCTTTTATAATTTGTGTGACATTTTGCCCGAATATGTGGTCAAATATTTTTTCTGTGCAATAAGTCCGCGTAACTTTTTAACGGCCCTCGTAAATATGACTAATCATACCTTTGCTATTCTTGAGAAGATATTTAAAGACTTTTCTTTTATATTTCTAAGTAAAAATTTGATCAGCCATTGTGGCTCCGCCCTACCCCCGGGTGTCATGATTTGAACAAATTTGAATCTACACTACCTGAGGATGTTTCCTCATAAGTTTCATTTTTTCTAACACAGTGGTTTTTGAGAAGAAGACTTTTAAAACCTTCCACTGAATTTTCACTATTTCTTAATTATCTCCCCTTGAATGAGGGCGTGACCCTTCATTTAAACAACCTGAATCCCTTCACCCAAGGATGTTTTGTGTCAAATTTGGTTGAAATTGTCTTAGTTATTTTTGAGAAGAAGTTGAAAATGTAAAAAGTTTACAGAAAGAGAGACGGACACCGGACAAAATGTGACAGATTGTTTTAGTAAAGGAAGGTATATGGCTAAATATAATATTCGTTCTGGTGCCCGGAGAAAATGAGCTAGTAAAGAAATATTTCTTACTTTAAAAAAAAAATAGTTGAATATCTTCACAATAAAATAATTATTGATTTTGATTGATTTTTTCCTTTAGACTTTAAACATTTAAGATATAAAGACGAGAAGCGCCCAGATTTAATCTAAACTGAATTAACATCTTACACGAGATAGAGGCGTCGGGATGTATTGGTCACCCTGCCCATTTTGTAAAAGAAGTATCTTATAGAGTATGCTCTTGTGTATCAAATCAACTCACTCCATCTAACCTTTTTATGCCCGCTGGCACATACATTTATGTCCCCAATAAAATGCTTGTACTTTCTGTGTCTCTAGCTGCATAGACACCCTGTTATAATAGCTCTTTATGATATTTTGGCCAGCCTACTTTCTTCCATCTGGCTTTCATGTTACTGTAGTGGTATAAGTTTTGGTGTTATGTTTAGTGCATTGCCAATCTAATTCCACATCTAGAGAGTTATTATTTCTCTTCATCTGTTCTGTTTGTTTGTCATTACTACCTTATGTAAATCAACAGTTAGGTCTACATCATATTCGCACCAAACTTTACTCTGTCCCTTTGAAACTTTTAAATAGTCTTCTTGAAAAGGCCAAGGAAAGTCCAATTTTTGATTCCTCGTCACCAGAATATAGGCTCGGATCTGTGATTATGGATATTGCATATCATAGGCTTTTTAAACCCGCACGTTTTACGGAAAATAATGCAGCTAAAACAATCCGTTTTTTCCTTAAACTTCAATATGCCAATAAAGGAATTGACGCGGTTAATATAAGTAATATTCTTAATCACAAAAGGGTTCAGTCTTGTATTCCACCATATTTCAAGTTTAAGACTACACCTTGTATTTCCTACAAATATATATCAACCATTGCTTCCAAAATTTTTAATTACAAAAAAAAATTACATGGTCTGGATACCAAGTATCTGAAACATAATCCTCCATCGTGTTGATGTTCTTCTTCGCCATATAACTATAGTTCTGCTGGACACGTTATTACAGGTGACATAAATATAGTTAATAACGAGGACCTTAGATCACTTATTTTAAAAGGTTCTAAATATAGTGAACCCCGATCCTTCAACTGGCGTCGGAATGACATAAATATTATGGACCCTGTTGAAAATTACGCTAGACAATGGGCCAGATATGAAAAAGGAGACGTTGACACCTCGTCAGAATGGATTAAATGTATTAGATTCATGTTAAAGTCGCGTATTAAAAGGTTGAGGGGCAATATGAAAACCATCTATCCTTCTGTGTTCAATAATCCAGAAGTGAGAAAAGAATTAGATTGATTACATGATCAGTACGTACTGGTCCCTGCCGACAAAGCAGGTAATAACATTGTCTTCGTTTGTAAGGCTCATTATATAAATTGTATTTTAAAAGAACTTTAAGGATTTAATTCTACAAGTGGAAATCCAATTTATACTCATACTTCTCTTTCTACGGAAGAAATTCTTCAAAATCAAAAGTCAGTTTTAATTATTTTTAATATTCCGGAGAGCCAAATTGAATTTGAACTACCCTATATATATTGGATTTCGAAACTTCTTTAAAATCTATACAAACAAAGATACATTGCGGGTTC